GAGTAAATCCTTGCTGAGATTCGGCCTTTGCATCGGGCCCAAAAGGTGTTTGCACAGCTACCGCACGCCAGCCCGAATTACTGGTTCTTGCATGTTCTTGCTGGAAACCCAATTCTTTTCATCTTGGGCATCTTCTAGCGCATTCCCCTGGAAAAGACCCATCAGGAGGCTCGTTCTTCGATCCCCGATCCCGATCCCGCACGCGTTCTTCTTCGCCCGGCGCTCGCGCCAGGATCGGGTGCTGGGAGCGACGTTGGAGGGTTCGGGGCACCGAGGTCGCGCCGAACGCGGTTTCGCTGGGCGAAGCGACGGAGGTCGTGTCACGTGCCGTGTCACGTGTGCCGTATGAACGGTCCGCATGAACGGGAGGGACGGGTGCCCTTTCGCCACACCCGAGCGAGCGAGCAGTTTTGGAGGAGTTGCAGTTTTTGGGGATGTGTTTGGGATTTCCTGGCCAATGGTTTCATGCATGGAGCCCCAAAGGAAGAGGAGTCATCAACTTCCTGCTTGGTTTGTTTCAGGCCTTCGATCAATTGGAAGGGTCGCTCCCGTTCCGGGAGCCGGGGAGCTCCCGGTCCCTCTCAGTGCGTAGCGCAGCGACCCTAGGCCTGTTGGTCCTACAGTTTCGCCTCCAGTGCGAGCACCAGCCCGAGGGCGAGGAGATGTCCAGCGGGCACCAGCTGGTCAGGATTGGGGCGGCCAAGCGTTGGGCACCGTGTGGGCGGTGTGGGCGCGTTGTGGGCGGTGTGGGCATTTGGAGAGTGCTGTGAGGTCAAAAAGGATGTGAGTTGCTCTCAGGTAGCTAGCCTCATGAGAAAGTATGCTGACCAACTTTGGAAGCTCAGAAACAAAGTAATGCAGTTTTGCATCCCATGCCTCCACTCTTCAACTTGTGCTGTGGCTGGTTTGAGTTCCAGTTTGAAAGCAGTTGAGCATTCTCGTGGGCTTCGAATTCGATGGCCCTTGTCCCTGTGGCGTCGATTCGCTTGGTTATTTTTCCACCAGCTGAGCAGCGCCTGGACGCCCACGCTCCGCCTGGCCTCCTCGCAGCCCGCGCGCACTTCTCTCGAGGACGGAGCCCCGCGAGAGCAAGTTCGTGTCCTCGAAGCTCATCTTGGCTGAAGAGATCTCGGCCTGGCTGCTGCCGGACGTGTCTCGGTGAAAAGGCCGACCTGGGATTGGTGTGAAGCAAGATCCAGTCACCACATGAAGGGTTCCAGAGCAGAGCCTGGTGCTTCTGCCCTCCCACTCCTCATTCCGCTCTCCGCAGCGTTCTTCTTCTCGTTCACCGCGTGCCGCGCGCGCGCGCGCGCGCGGACGGTCCCGCTCCCGGGACGCGCCGCACGACGTCGGTTCGCGCTGCGAGGATTTGGCGCGGGAGCTCCTGCAGCGGAGCTTTGCCGATGTGGAAACGACGCAGCACCTGGGCCGCCCGCTGCTGCTGCAGTGTCACAAGGCGGTGGGCCGGCTGCTGGCCGAAGAGGAGACCCGGTGAGTTGGACCAGACGACCGGGGGAAGGTGGATGCGACGGCCGGGGAGTTGGGGCCAGGTGGAAAATAGAAGGATGTTGGACAGGTTCTTGACATGTGGATGCTGATGATTTTGTTAGATTTTTGTTTCTCATCCACCGGCTCAAGGAATGAGCACCATGCATGATGTTCAAAACAGTTCAGCTATCCATCCATGTTTGTTTTGTGTATGTGTATGTTTGTTGCTTTGAACAGATCAGGATCCAGGTGTGGGTGTTTTTTTGGTTGGTACCAGAAGACGTGTTGTCTTTTTCCCCCAACCAAGGAGCTGAATCTGAAGATGGAGATGGAGGACCTCATCATCCACCTGAGCCAGTCGGATGCCGTCCTCTTGTCGCTCCTGGCCCAATCCCTGGACAGCGGCCCCGCAACCGCCGCGGGTGCGGGCGCTGGCGGCGACGGCACTGGGAGTGCCGGCCTCTGGAGTGACGAGGGCGCGGAGGGTGCCCGGTCGCGGAGCAGTTGGGAGGTGAAGTTGAAGGGGATCTCCTTGCGGCTCCTGGAAGGGAGTGAGCAAAAGGCGGGGCATTGGGGGATTGGGGGAATTTTGGTTGGGCAGATTTGGAGGAGCTGAGTTGAAGGCCTTGACCAGGTGTGAAGTTAGGTAATTTGAAGATATGGAAGGACCCTCCTCTGACTACAGCTGCAGCATGCACATTCAAGAAGAGTGCCAGGTCTCATCCCTACGGGTGCTGGCCAGACTGGACATCGGAGCGCAAGTGTTGGAGGTGCGGCATCCTGCCAGATCTGTTCAGATCTGCACGAAACCTCCAAGTGTGGTGTTTCTATTTTTTCGCCCGAAAAGATGTCTTGTTTTGGGGGTGTCCATTGACCACCCCTGCAAACCTCCTGGTTCAGAAGAAGACATTTTTCACTCTTTTCTGTTTTCTTTTCTGTTTTCTTCTCCTGTTTGTTGTTGGGGGTACTCTCTTAGGAAACAAGAAGCTGGCCGCAGTCTCTGGCCGCGCCGGTATTCTGTGTCTGGGCGTTGTCCTCCTGTTGTCCTCTTCTTGTCCTCCACTTAACAGTAAACTGCTTGAATAAAGAGGACAGCTCCTTCAATTTTATCCCGACATACAGTGTATCCCCTCATGTTTGCACATGTGACTTCAGGAATCAGGAATGACTGTTTTCACACATTTTTCGTTTACGTACTGTTCCCAATGCACATTGGAACTCAAGGAGTTGACGCCAAATGATTTCTGCTGAAGCTGTTTGGGGTGTATGCTGGCAAGATTTCACTTAGGATAGGTCCATCCGCGCGTCCAAAGCCTCGACGCTCCCCATGGCAGCGGCCAAGACGCATCGGAATCCGCGAGCCCCTTCCGTTTCGACTTCGGGCTCGCGAAAGGGTCAAGACCCACGGAGCGTGTCGCACTGCTCGGAATGGTTGGGGCCAAGGAACCTGAGCTGAGGAGCATTTTTGGTGGTTTTCAGTGGTTTTCGTCTTTGTTGGCCTGTCCGACAGGGTGATTTTTGTTGCGGTCGTCGGGTATCGAACCTCGATCGCCAGATGGTCAGCGGAGAGAAGGTGGAGCTGTTGAAATACAGCCTACAGCAACTGGTCGCTTACAGCTGTTGGGTGCCACCCATGGGCGTACCAAAGATTGCTCGGACTGGACTCCTGCAACCAAGCAGGTGAAAGATTTCAGGTGAAAGGTGCAGGAATTCATGTCTTCTGTGGGGTTTTGGAGGGCGCCGATGTGCATCTCAAGAACCGTTGGAATTCATTGGTTTCGGGTGTTCGGGGTGACGGAACCCTCGTCCGGTCTGTTCAGCTCCGCGGGTGTTCGACCCGCGGACATGGGATGGACATCGTAGCGGTTGGATGGGGAGCTTTCGCCTAAATCTTGCAGACTCTTGATGAATAAGACCACCACGTTTTAATTCAATAGCCAATAGCCTACACCGAAGCAGGTTTGTCCGGTGTGACGCATCTTTTGAGAGGTGCAGTTTGAGAACACCGAGAGGTCGAGGACTCCAAGGAAAATTGAATCCAACCACATCAACCACCAGACATCCAAGGCAAGTGATGATATCGGACAGGGAGGAGAAGAAGTGCTTGCTGCGGTGGTATGGAGATACTGAGTCTGAGCCCTGCGCGAAGCTCCGATACAAAGGACCTCTGGAGTGTCTGTAGAGCAGTGAGGGCAATTGGCAGCTTGTGGGGATGTGGGGCACAAGAAGAGATGGTCAAGCACTGGCAATAGGGAATCCGGAAGAGTTAGTCATGCATATTCCCTGTGGAATGACCACCAGTCATCCGTTAGAATAGGGAGATGAATCAATGAAGGTCCTGGTTGTTGCGGGTCCCCAGTTGGGAGTCGAGTTGAGTTTGGTGGAGTAGAGTAGAGGGGATCCGGGACTGGTTGTTCTTGCAGCAGTAAGTATATAGTCAAAAAGCGGCAGTAGTAGTAGTAGTAGTAGTAGTAGTAGTAGTAGTAGTAGTAGTAGT